TACCCCTGATACCGTAATTATATAATATGCAGATTAAAATATCATGATCAACACAGTCGAATACCCTGCTGAGATCGCAGAAGATCCCAACAGGGCACTCACCATCATCTATGAACTCAATCTATAAAACTGTGAACTCAATCAGCTGATCTATAAAGCTGTGAATAGCAGCAGAAGTAGATTTTTTAGAGCGGAAACTATGTTGATGATCTATAAAGATATTATTTATTGGTAAAATTCAACAGTCTGTCTAAAAAAGCATGCTCAAAAATTTTAGCAAAACCCACTAGTAATAGTAATAGACCTGTAGTTGGCTAGAAAACGAGAATCATTCTTCTTTAAGATTGGAATAACTTTTCCAGTTTTAAGGCAAGATGGAAACTTCCCCTCCGAAAACGAGAGATTAACTAAATCAGTTAGTAAATTTATTGTAAAATAGGCACTATTTATATTCTGATTTCTTAGTTATTGGAATACCTATAAAAAAGTACAAATAAAAAAATATTTAGGTACCTACAGCCTACAATATTTATAATAAATATAATCAAATTATTTATACTTTAATTATTCACATTTTCTTAAACCGTCAATTTTTAATAAACAATGTCAATTAATATGTTTTGATGTCACACTTTCACGGTAAATTCGATTTTTATATTTATACATACAAGACAACCTTGACGAAATATGTCAATGTAATTTCTTGTTTGCATCATTTTTCTTGTTAGCCGTAGAAAACAAATTTATTTTTTATTATTTTATATTTAAGAAAATATTGTAAACTTTTTTAAACTAGACTAGCTTCTATCAGGAAGAGGATTTTAGAAAAAAATATTCACATGAAAACCCTATTTAATTATCACACTATCAAACTTAAAACGATTAAAACAAATCTGCCTTACCCTGTATAAGTACTTCTAACTAGTTTAACGTTTTGTAATAAAATCAAATCAAATTGAATGCAAACATACTATTTATTCATGGAGTTTTTAATTTAAAAAACGTCTGAATGCATTAAATTGGATTTTATAGTTTCACATTTATTTAAATTTGCACGAAGTAAGCCTGCTTCAAAAAGTACAATTATGCAGAAAGATACAAAGGAACGACGAGGAATCGGGCTCGCAGTATTAAATAGAAAGTGGTAATCCTCCTTGAAATGTAACAATAAGCCTTTTGAAAGAAAGATATTTAGTTTGGGAAGGAGATTTATTAAAATTGTTTCGTGGCATTTGTTCCACAGTAGCTAAAAGCAAGAAACAAAATGCCGCTTTAAGAATTCGTAAAAGATATTGGTTTGATGGTTTGCGTTGTTAGATTTAATGTTACCGAAGAGAAAAGAAACGCGCGAAAATCTGTAGAAATAGAAAAGAACGCCGCTTTGAAATATACTAAAATAATCACGGCTTTAACAAAAACTATATACTGTAATCGCTGAACCGCGCCGGCCAGCTGTTAGTATACTTTAAGTAGAGTACCTACATATTATTCTCCTGGTTCTCGTAATATGTACGTCGTAATTGAAAATATTTAGTGAATACTTGTGAGTGAATTACAACATAAAATTTAGTTTTCAATTATCGACCATATTTCTCTACGTTAGTGAGTAAGTGCTACATTTCTTTTTTCATGTCATTTCTTACGGCTGACCTGCTACTGGAATTACGTCAGGCCCAGAGTTTTGGTAAGTTTCGACCTTTGTAGGTGCTTAATTTGTTCATTTGGCATAGACACGAATACGAAAGACTTTTAGTTGTTATAAATTGTTATTAAATACAACACATGCATTTTAAAAGACCATTAAATTTTGTATGTAAAGAAGGTAAATCTTTATGATTTTTATATCAATAGATTATTATCCAGCTAAAGCTAAAATGTAAGAATAAGGTAAAAATTTAACAAAAAATACTTCAAAGAATTTTAATGTAAGTTTGAAAAACTTTAGGCGATAGTTTTTTGCAGGAATTTAAGGGACCACATTATTTTACGAAAATCATGTGAACCAATGGTTTCCTATTTTTTTATGTTTATAAAATTCTTCATCAGTGTCAAACAAAAGACGTCTTATTTTCTTTTTCCAATTTGAGGTCTAGTTTAAAAAAAACACGATAGATTCCTGCCTTCATTGGCAGAATCTATTTCCCATTAAAACTTATAAAAGCGGGTATCCATTTGTTGCAATGCTCCGTAACGTAACAACGAACATGTTACGGCCTGTTGCAAAAGGTGACACGGTTCGCTGCAAAAATATGTGTGGTTTTGGTCGTATCATTCATTCCGTAACGTAACAAAATAAGGTACGAGACGACACAGGAACATAAACTCGCAGTATGAACCTGACTGCAATCATGGATTTGTCACTGCAATTGCAGTTAGCAGCAGCGTCATACGTTTTTATTCATCATAAAATTTTGAAGAATAAGAAACGGAAATCTTTTCTTTACTTCACTCCATGGCACAAACACAGAAAAACACACTCTTTCTAGTCACTGCAGAAAACAGACTGGCCCCAGGCCATATACAAAACACTGACGAAATAAAAAATAAGACAAAATCACATGTGCAATAGGCAACGTTAAGGCCAAAAGGGTAATGTACTGTTGCATCCCTTTGATGCGACGACTAAAAACCGATAACTGATGGTTCGTCCCGGATTAGTTACGCGTGTCAAATTTGTTACACGTACCATGCAACAATTTTCCGTCTCCACTAGCTGTAACGTAACATGTTCGGTGCTACGTTACGGGGCATTTGACACAAATGAATACCCGCCTTAAGAGGGTCGTTTTCATAAATGTTTTATGTAAAATACTATATAAACATTAAATTCTTACAAAAATACACAATACAAGAATGAAATGCATCAAACATACATTTGATCACTGGTAAATATGTCAGCGTGAAATATTACATTCAAGTAAATGAATTTAACAACCAAAAATTAACTCGCAACAGATAATTATTTCTAAATATCACTTTTCAAGCTAAATTTAAGTAAAAATTATGTTTGTAATGTATCGCAAAATATGCATTGAAATAGGGAAAAAACGATGGCTTCGATTAAAGAAGTTAGTGTCGTATCAAACTGAAATAAACATAAACATGAACAAGAAGAAGAAACATTTTAAAAGTCAGAAATTTATTAAATTTGAATTTATTAAATATCTTAAAAATGTTTGGTTATATCATGCACAAAGTATCTTTTGAAGTGAGAAAGTTATTTTATTTTCTCGGAAATTCTAGTGTTTCAATTCTAACAAATATATCGAATATATGACCGTTTATTTACAGTGTTATCCAAAAATTTTTACTATTTCCTTTTCTACGAAAAAAAATAATAATTACGGCAGTCGCTTGTGCATTTCTGAAAACTGTAAACTCATGCACCTACAATTTTTACGTCACATCCGGTATAAGTCAAATTTGACAATTTTTTCAAAATATTAAAAAAGTCATCTGAAAATATTGAATATTAATTTTTTTTTAATTTTAATTTTTCTTTAAACACAAAATTATATTTTACAGTTTTTCCAGTGAAATATATCTCATCTCAATAAGTAAGGAACATCTTATTTTCGTAAGTATTTTTTGGCTTCAGTAATAAAACATTGATAATTCTCAAAAAAAGTTACTGTGTTAATTAAAATACAATATCAATCAAAATGTCAAGTCATTCTTAATTAAAATTTTTGTCTTCTTTGAAGTGAATGTTGAAAAAATATATGTTTATTATGAAATTTAAAGTTTGTACGTTGATTTATAGTCTTTCCGAAGTCAGTTGAACATGTAAAAAAACTCCTGGCAATAAAATTTAATGATGAAACTTCGTCCCTAAAAAAGTTTTATGCTAAAGGTAAAAAATTATAGTAATTTGTATATAATGTGTTGTAAATTTCTATTATACGTTTATTTGGCCAACAACATATTTTAATTATTTATGTTCTCAAACAATTTTATTATATTGATGGTAAATTTCGTTTTGTTCCAGTTCAAAAGGTCTCCAAAATGTAATAATATTATTTCTCCCTTTCGCAATTGTAATATCAATATAATAGTAATATGAAATAGAAGGTCCCTATAATAAATTAAAATTACCTGAATCACACAAAATTCCGCATTGCTGCACTGCACTGCTGGGCAATTTGTCGACCACTTGTCAACGGTTGAGATTTATTGCCCAGTGGCCCAATGCTCCTGTATTTGTAATTCGTTTGCCCACGCTCGCATTCTTCAACTGGGCGTATACATTTCTACCACCTCCACGTTTAGTTCGACCAGACTTGTATATGGGTATGGCTAAATAAATATGGGAACAAGTTTTTCAAATATTTCAATGCCGATTTGCTGCATCAATTCAATTGATATTGGAAAGAGTATACTAAAAACAGAATTCTCAGTAAATTCCACAAATTACATTGTCTATTTTCTTGTTTAGAATCTTCTAAAAAAAAAAAAATATACCGTAAACTTGAATGGCATTGGTCCACTTTCAAACTTTAGGACCCTGTAACTTTCGATAGGAGAGATATATATTTTTTTTGCGCCAGAAAACATGTCGCTAATAGTACTTTCAGCATGGCAAAAATCAAAATTATGCTAATTTAGAATTTTTTTTTTTTTTTTAAATGGTGGTGGCCAAAGCTAGAAGACAAAGTTGGGTCACTTTGGCCGACCACTATTTTATCACTTGAATCTAAAAACCGGCTTAGAAATAGGCAACTTTGGACACAAAAAGTGTTTTTAATAAATAGTTTAATAAATTTAGGGCCCATGGTAGTAAAAAAATAGGAAAAATATGCAAAAGAATACAATTTTTATTGTTTACTTAACAAAAGTAATTAAATTTTACAATAAAAAAAAGCAAAATAAAGACTGAGAATATAAAATAAAAAAATATTCTATATAAACGTTAAATTTAAATAAAAAACAACTTATTTATATTTATTTGTCTCATGGATTGTAAAAAATCCTCTCTTGGAGGGTTGCGGTGTATTAATCACCTCTATAATGTCTTTAGGTTCATACCAAAGGACATCTTCAGACGAAGGCCACTTCCATTGATGCAGTCCACTTTTTTCAAGAGATTTAATCTTAAATGTTTTCTTATTTTCTTTTAATTTAATTTGAATAACTTGTCCCGGGTAAACTTGGTTTTCATATAAAAATAAAACAAAGTTTCCATTGTTAATATGGTCAATTGTCGTGTTATTGTTTGGTGTTGTCAGACCTTCATCGGTAATTTCCTCATCAAGGTGACCTTGATCGGCAACTTCCTCATCAAGGTCACAGTAATCCTCAGTCTCCGAATAAATGGAAAAATTACAGGAGGACTCAGAGTCACTAGAAATTCTTCGTCTTCGCTTTTCTGAAGGAATTTTCGTAACTTGACTTGGTCCAGGGGTAGCTTCTGGTTGAATATCCGAAACGTAAATGCTTCTACCAGGTAGCACATTCACTTTTTTCCTCTTAGTGCCTTCGGCTTGCTGAGGGAACCTTCTTTCCTGCAGAAGATCTATTACTGAGGCACTTATATTTAGCTGTACATTTGGGTCTAGATTTTCATTGCCTGGAATTCGCTCTAAAACTTTTCTTCTATTCAAGGGGTAAATGCCAGCCTTTTCAAATCCATTCTTTAGGTTTTGTTTTCCATTTTCTGCTAGAGAATCTACTAGTGATTTTAGAAGGCGAGGGAAATCTTGTTTCGAAACGGTTTTGTTATTTCCACTTAATTTGTATGAGGTGAGCAATTTAATTTTCAATGGACGAAAATATGCTACGTCTAACGGTTGCGTGATGTGAGTCGTATTGGGTGGTAAGCATATGAATTTAATTTCATGTTTATTACAAAGGTGTAGGACATGTACACTTAAATGTGATGAAAGATTGTCACCGATGATCACTTTAGTTCCTTCTAATTTTTTTAAACGTGGCAATAGTAAAAATTCGAACCAATCCTCAAATATTGTTGCTTCAAACCAGTCACTTTTGGAGCGATTATAACGAGCTCCATCTGGTCCACCTATCGTGCAACTGTCTTATAAGTTTGTAGCCTTGTAAACCACGTAGGGTGGTAAAGTTTCACCCAACGCGTTTCCACAAAACATTACACTTGTAGATTGTTTTGTTGAATTTATATTCCGCTCGGGATATTTGCAACCCCGCTTCGTAATGATTTTTTTACTACCCGGATCATCGACTAAATTAGATTCGTCATAATTCCATATGTTTACTGGGTCAACCCCAAATATTTCTCTCTGTAAGTCAAAAAAAGTGTTTATCAGCTCAGGAGTGACAGTGGCCCTAGCGACTTTAATATTAGAAGCAAATCGCTGTGTAAGGTCAGGGTGCCATTTTAGAAAGAGTCTCACCCATTCCTACCCTGGTATGTTATTTGTAAATTTGCGAATAGTCACCCCTTTGCGGTCTAGGTATGTTTTTACAATTTTTCGCAAGTCTAGTGCATCTATAGGAAATCTGAAATCTGAGGCAGCTATGATATGAAATTTTAATTTTCTCTCTTCGTCTACCGTTAGAACAGTTTGACCAGCCGGTAGATTTGTATGTACGTTGTTAAGTTTATTTTGTAATGTGGACCTTGGTATTTTGTACCTTTCTGAAGTGAGTCTTGAGACATTCGTCCCTCTCTTATATTTCTTATAGCTTCTTCTAACCTAACATTTGTATAATTGCAAGTTTCTACTACCGACTGTTTTTTTTTTGTAGCGTCCCATGTTCTAAAATTACTACCAACAGTATATTATAAAATTTATTTTAATAGAATTATTACTCACCAATAACAATAAAGGAGTACCACAACCATGTGAATCACCGGCGGCCAAAGTAACCCATGAAAACTACCGAAAGCGCATGGGTGACTTTGGCCACCCCCTATGGGCAGAAATCTGCTAGAAAGACCTACGAACGTCTCTCTTCAGCCTCCGATAATACATGAGCGTAGTTTTGCTTGTACAGACAAAGTTATAACGACTAAAAATTCGCGCTTTTTTAACAAGGACATTCTTATATGATTTACGGAAATACGAGGGACCAATTATTTTTAATATTCATAGTTTTGGGTTCCTTATAGACTGTATAAGTCATACATAACTTGATATTGAAAAATTTTAAGTTAATTTTTTTTATATATAGGAAAGAAACAAATTTCAGAAATTGACCAAAGTCACCCAGGGTGGCTAAAGCCACCCAAGTTTACGGTATCCAATTAAGAAAAAAGGTTACACTAGTTTTCTCACGTTTGTGTCGTTTTTTAACGATATTTCAAATTCAACGGAGTTGATACGTACTTTTCTTAAAATCGTTTTCTCTAGTTATTCGCACTTATTTTTTTACATACAATTCTTGTAAATACATTGGAATGCGACGAGCTCGATAAAGAATCTAGCAGATCTTCGTGAACATGTAGCATTTGCTTAATTTTACTCCCGGTTAAAAATAAGTCCCATTCATTTCTTCGTTCCTTTCGTACAAATATGCAGTGAATTTCGTAGTTAATGAATCAAATGTGAATTAGTGTCGCAAATGAAAGATCTGTTTCTTTTTGTCAGCAATTTGTTAGTTGGCGACTTCATGTATAATTTCACAAAACGGTACGCAAGGATCAAATCATTTGAGTTAATCAACACCTTCCAATTTTTAGAAGCCGCTGAAAAAATTTACGTTTAATTTCGATTTCTTTGCTATCCAGAAACTATATATTTCAAACAATTATAACTTTCTTTCATTACAATACTTTACTACTGGATTTGGGAAACATACGAATTTGCAGAATATTGTCAATACATGCATAATGTTATAGGAGTATCGATTAGATTTAATCTAAGACGTCATGTTATTATCAAATGTATCAGATACATAAAGAATGACAAATGACTGCGATTATTATTTTATAATATTTTCAATATATAAATCAGAAACTAAAATAAAAACAGGTATTTCTTTTGCCCGTCGCATGATTTTAGGGAGAATTATACCTCAAAGGTCATAAACCAATTAATATCGTTCTACTTGTATTGCTGAATATATTGGATATTTTGTCAAAGTATGTAACTAAAATGCTGCGCCAGAAAGGTTCCTATAAAGAAATATTTCGATTTCGAAATACAGGGTGTTAAAGTTTGAAGAAAAAATTGATTTTATAAAATTACAAGATACCTACCGGATTTTTTATTGCCTACAAACGTATGTGCATCATACAAGTTCACTGTATACTTATTTAATTTCAGAGGTAGACATAATAATCTTCAAACCAATTTTTTTTATTAAGTTAATTCAAATTTGACTCACTTTTATGATAGTGCCAATACTTTACATAAACATATTCTTGCTGTATGTTCCCATAATTAGTGACAATGTCAAAATCAAATTATTTTTTAAATAAAATCTAATATGATTCAAACAAGCATTTGTTCTAAAAAATCTTGTCAAACAATGTTCCTGGATACCAATAGATATTTACTAAACCCACAAACATTGTCTGACTTCATTAGAATAGATTTTTTGGGGAAAATTTTTGAATTTGTTTGAATTAGCTTAATTTCTTTTCAATACAAAAAAAATGCTGCAGCTAATAATATAATGTCTTTAAGAAACAGTAAAAAGAGACAAATATATTCAACATTTTTTAAAATGCCAGTTTTGTGTTTTTTTATACAGGGTGTGGCGTGTATAATCTATAAAAATTAAACTACAGCTTCCTGATGATATTTGTAATAGAAAAGTCTTATACGCAAAGATTCTATCTTCGCGTTTTCTTTTTTTGTAAATTAAAGTTCATTTATTTAACGAAAATGAAGGCGTGTGTTATTTATTAAAAACCTTGGAAATGTTTTTATGCGACCCGAGAAGCAACCTTATAATTTAAGTCGGTATAATCTAATACTAGTAATACTAAAACAATGCATTTACTATTGCCGAACGTGTCGATATGGTGTCAGTGTATGGTGCAGCCGGAGAAAATGCGCTAGCGGCGACTAGGTTGTACTGAGAACGATGGCCACAACGTCACCACCCATGTACAAATACAATCCTACAATGCGTTCAGCGGCTGCGAGATACGGGAAGTGTTATTCCTCGAGGAGAAGGACGTGGTCAGTAAGTGCACCTTAATGTTGAAGATGCAGTGTTGGAAAATATTAACGAAGACCCCACAATTAGTACTCGACGACTCGCATAGCAAGTAGGAACCTTATCTCGTACCGTATATCGCATCTTAAGGTACCAACTGTTGCTCCCCTATCATCTGCAACCAGTTCAACAGATTTTACCCCCGGATTGTGATCAACGAATGCGTTTTTGCAGATTTTTTTAAGGCAATGTGCCAATCAAGTAGACATTCCTGCTTATGTTTGTGTAACAGATGAGGCGACATTTACCCGTGATGAAGTAAATTTCCATAATATGCACATATGGACGATGAAAATCCTTACGCGATTAGGGAAACTCATTTTCAACATCAGTTCTCGGTAAATATTGATGCTGGTATAATAGGCAATGTACTTGTGGGTCCCTATTTCTTTAAAGGACGACTAAATGGACCAACATATGCTGACTTTTTCGAGAAGTAACGACACTTTTGAATTAAATGTTTCCTCAGCGATGGATTGGACGCTTTGGTCCTCTGTCGTGGCCACCTCAGTCCCCGATCTAACTCCAATAGGCTTTTATCTTTGGAATCATTTGAAGTCATTGGTTTACAATGCTCCAATTGCTAGGTGGAAGAATTGCGAAACCGTATACTTGAAGCTGCTGACACAATTAGGGGAATGCCTGGAATTTGGGAAAATATCAACATTTTCTCTAGAAATGGTAAGTTTTATTTCATTTTGTTCCATATTTTAATTTAGTATGTTTAGTGCACGCAGTTGGCAACTACAGATGCTTACGGATGTGGTTTGTTTGCGAACTCTTGCAGTAACAACGATACATTTAAAATAGTAATTACTATTAATTATTATAATAAGAAAACATCAGTTTTTTAAATATCTATTTTTCTTAGTTTGTACTTTTGCATTGAAAAATTCCCTAAAAATTAAGAAGTATCTTTCTATCTTTCAACGATGATTTGTTTACGCGGGTGGTCTACAGCAAGTAACTTATCGTATAGCACGCGGACAGGACCGTTCCAGAGAAAATATTTTGATTCATAATTGACTTTAATTTACGAAAAAAAACGTATTTATATTACAAATATCGTTAGGAAGCTGTAGTTTAATTTTTATAGATTATACACGCCACACCCTGTACTATATAATTTTGTTCTATCAATAGTTATTAATTCCATTTGCAAGGAGGCTACCTAATGAAACAGTAAAATCTTGAAACAAAAAGATCTCTCGGATTTTATTTTCAATAGTTATTTATTGCCATCTTTTGTTAGGTACCTATTAGGTGTAGTTTAATTCTAATTGGGACATGTAACCCATAGAGTACTTGTTTCCCGTAATATCAACAGTTAGGAATCTTCTCTGTGGGGTTAGTATCT